TCTTTTGCTGGGGGCAGGCTAGTCCAGCTGTCAGGGAGCTGAAACCCTGCTCGTGCCCTGCCTGGCCATCCCCAGCCGCCTGGGCTGTGAGCAGGGGGGACCCAGGCTGTGTTTGCAAGCGCCTCCCCTGTCCTAACCTGGGCGTGTCTTTGCTTGCAGAAGCCTCATGCCCCGGACGCTGGGCAGCCAGATCACAATGGAGAAGACTCCCAGCTACTTTGTCACCAAGGAGGCCCCCCGGCGGATCTTCAACATGTCCCGAGACACCAAGCTGATCGTGGTGGTGCGGAACCCCGTCACCCGGGCCATCTCGGACTACACGCAGACACTCTCCAAGAAGCCCGAGATCCCCACCTTCGAAGGGCTGTCCTTCCAGAACCGCAGCCTGGGGCTGGTGGACACCTCCTGGAGCGCCATCCGCATCGGGATGTACGTGCTGCACCTGGAGAGCTGGCTCCAGTACTTCCCCCTCTCCCAGATCCTCTTTGTCAGCGGCGAGAAGATGATCACGGACCCGGCGGGGGAGATGGGCAAGGTGCAGGACTTCCTGGGCATCAAGCGTGTCCTCACGGACAAGCACTTCTACTTCAACAAGACCAAAGGCTTCCCGTGCCTGAAGAAGCCAGAGGGCAGCACCTTCCCGCGCTGCCTGGGCAAATCCAAAGGGAGGACTCACGTGCAGATAGACCCTGAGGTCATAGAGCAGCTCCGGGACTTCTATAGACCGTATAATATTAAATTCTATGAAACCGTGGGGCAGGACTTCAGGTGGGAATGAACGTCCCGGCGCAGTGCGGCGGTGAGGGGAGCCTGCCGTGAGGGTGGCAAGCTGGAGGCCACCGTGACAGCCCCCCCCCCCGCCGGCCCGCGCGCCCTGGCTTGCGCCCCCTGCGGCAGGTCCAGCTCTTGCAGGCCGAGGCCCACAGAGTGGCCGCGTTATGTCCTCCAAGCCCACGGACACGGCCAGGCCCTCGGCAGAGTCGGTCCCAGCAGGCGCTTGGTTTTGACGCTGTGATTGGTACCCGCTGGGCAGCTGTGAGAGGGCCCCAGGGGCTGGGGGAGAAGGCCTGGGGCCATCTGTTTCGTAATAACAGGTGGTCGGTGCTCACATCTGTCGCTGCGCAAACTGCTCGCGCCTCTGCCTGGCACGTACGTTGTGCATGTTCCGAACAGAACCCGCTGGAGCATTCCCTGGGCGAGGGGAGGGTCGGTCTCTCGCCCCCTCCTGCAGCTTAGCGGGACGAGGACGGGGGCCCCACGCCCGCGGGGTGAGACGCCCGGGGCTCTACGCCCCACGGGGAGCCACACATCCCACACTGGCGTGGCCTCTCCGTCTTACCATGGATCCCCGGAGCGACGTGTCGCCAGGAAGCTGGGGAGGTGAATGCTTGAAAAACAGAATGTTCCAACCACATTGTGATGGTCCTTTGTCCTGGGAATAAAGCACAGATTTGCTGGTACGGGTCATTCTGCCCCCGCCCGTGACTCCGGGGAACGGAACAGTCCGTAGTAAGGCGCCTCTCCTAGGAGTGGTCTTTGCAAAGCTGACTTGCGTAAGGCGGGGGCTTCTCTGGGCCTGGCCTGCTCGGAGTGGGAGGGCTGGGCTCATCCGTAGGCGCCCCCAGCACACGTGGGAGCCTGGCCCCTCCGGCGGGAGTCGTGGGGACTTGGCTGACGTAGAACTCGTCCCGGGCAGGGGCCCCCAGCCAGCCCCCTGGCTGCTAGCGCAGGCCTGCTCCCCGCCCTGGCTGGGCCAGACGGACACACGGCGCCCTTAAAGCTTACTGAAGGGGGGCAGTACCGTCAATGCTGCCACCAGCAGACAGGCTGGGGGGAGGCGCCTGTCTCCCTCCTGGGGATTAGCGCTGGGCTTCCGGAGCGGAGCGGAGCCGTGCCCACCTTCATGTTGGCCGGCGTTTGCAGGGGGAATAGGCAGCGGCTGAGTGGCCAGGGGCTGGCAGGTGACTCCAGGCTCCCAGCCCATGTCTCCAGGCCCCAGGGGCTTGGCCCAGCACTCAGTTTCGCTTGCCCACTGTGACGGACCAAGCCGTTCTGGGCACAGCTGCGG